TAAAGGCACAGTCAACTTAGTGTATGCAAACTTCTGACCCACTAGAATTGTGATACAGTGAATTATAAGTGAAATAATCTGTCTGTAAACAATTGTTGGAAAAATTACTTGTCATGCACAAAGTAGATGTCCTAACCAACTTGCCAAACCTATAGTTTGTTAACAAGAAATTTGTGGAGTGGTTGAAAAACGAGTTTTAATGACTCCAACCTAAGTGTATGTAAACTTCCGACTTCAACTGTGCATATTACCTAAATCAATCACCCCAACTACCTCATACCCCAGTACACTGACTCGGTACCAGTACTCCCTGTATATAACTACCTCATACCCCAGTACACTGACTCGGTACCAGTACTCCTTGTATATAGCCTGTATATAGCCTCGTTATCTTTATTTTATTGTGTTCATTTTCATACTTTTTAACTGCATTGTTGGGAAAGGGCTCATAAGTAAGCGTTTCACGGTAAAGTCTAAACTTGTATTCAGCGCGTGACAAATACAATTTGATTAGAGAACATCCTCAGGACTGTGATTTAAAAATAGTTTTTACTCTTATTCAAATAAATGAAGCATCCCAGCAGGCTACCTGTTTCACACAACTCTACAGAAACATCTGGAAAACACGAAGACACAAACATGTTTCAAACATTATTCCAGCAAATATAAGCGAGGTTTGAGTTTGCTGCAGTATGCCAGTTATCCTGTAGAGTTCACTGTTGTCTTTCGCCTCAGTGACAGCATGTAGGCCTCTGAGGACAGCAGCTGTCACTGAGGCAGAGTGATCAGCTCATTCCAGAGGTCACAGTCTGATTTAGACAACTAAAGTTAGTAACTATAGTAACCCTTCTAACCAATCTGACTGCTGCTGTGAACCTGTCACCTGTAACAGATAGACTACTCCCGGCGAGTCTGTTCAAGCGGTGCTGTTTCAGCACCATGGACAGCGGCATGCTTTAAATCATGTCTCTTCTCATTGGAACCCATGTAATCTACTGAGAACACTGCGGTTTCCAGGCCTCACCGCCTCGGTATCTAACATACTGCACAGCAGCAGCCTCCATCTGTAGAGCTGTGAGATCAATCTGTGACATCCACCGTCCGAGCTACGCTCCCACTATTACTACTACTACAGCATGCGCATGCGCACTGACAGCACCCAGCCGGGTCCGGAGGAAGAAGCCATATGCCGACGGATGTAATCTTGGCAGAGAATTCCCTCTTCACCCTGGGCATACATGGTGAAACTGTGAGTATTTGGTTTCCCGATGGGTCCTGGTCTGGTCTGGTCGGGAGAAGAGCGGGCTAGGCGGGTTAAAACGGTCCGTCACGGTGGTTGTACAGAGTGGCTTGTGACTGATGTGTGTTGTCGGAGGTGGTAGAGGGCGGTGGATGGATGGAGCTGTGAGCTCCATAGCGGCTGCGGCTTTTTCTGCTCGCTCTTCATCATGGTACTTTCTATTGATGTGAGCTGGGCTAATGATAATCCAACGGCTTCTCTGTGTTCGTCTCGCACAACAGCCTATGCCTTGTAGATATCTATTGGTTTTATTCTGTAATACGAGTTGTGATTGAGTGACATCAGGATTTTTTGTCTGTACGGAATCCCCCCATCCTCTTCCTCCTCCTCTTCCTCCTCCTCCACCCCCATCCAGCTGGTGATGGTGAAGTCAGCCTACCGTTATTCCTCCTATGTCAGTTCTGAATGAACCAACACACCAGTCTTAAAGAGGCTGTTTGATAATGTTACAAATATCCTCCCCCCATCTCCCCTGGTATGGGTCCATTTTATTAGCGGTCATGCAGACACCGCCCACTGGACACATACTGGTTGAATCAACGTTGTTTCAATGTACTTTGTCAACGTATTGTGACGTGGAATCAATGTCAAAAATACATTGGATTTAAAAAGTTATCAACCAGTAGTGTTTTCACCTCATTTCAACCAGCGATGTAAACATTGAAATTAGGGTAAAACTTCAATTTAAATACATTGATGTAACAACTAGATTAAGTCAATCTAATTTCAACATAATCATCAGAACTATGTATAAATTGAAATTGCATTGACATTTTCACATAGAAATGTAAAAAATATTGTTTGAATCAAGGTCATTATTTCAATGTAATGCCATCAACCTAAATAAAGAGGTATTTTGAAATATGCAGTGAGGGAAAAAAGTATTTGATCCCCTGCTGATTTTGTACGTTTACCCACTGACAAAGACATGATCAGTCTATAATTTTAATGGTAGGTTTATTTGAACAGTGAGAGACAGAATAACAACAAAAAAATCCAGAAAAACGCATGTCAAAAATGTTATAAATTGATTTGCATTTTAATGAGGGAAATAAGTATTTGACCCCTCTGCAAAACATGACTTAGTACTTGGTGGCAAAACCCTTGTTGGCAATCACAGAGGTCAGACGTTTCTTGTAGTTGGCCACCAGGTTTGCACACATCTCAGGAGGGATTTTGTTCCACTCCTCTTTGCAGGTCTTCTCCAAGTCATTAAGGTTTCGAGGCTGCCTTTTGGCAACTCGAACCTTCAGCCCCCTCCACAGATCTTCTATGGGATTAAGGTCTGGAGACTGGCTAGGCCACTCCAGGACCTTAATGTGCTTCTTCTTGAGCCACTCCTTTGTTGCCTTGGCCGTGTGTTTTGGGTCATTGTCATGCTGGAATACCCATGCACGACGCATTTTCAATGCCCTGGCTGAGGGAAGGAGGTTCTCACCCAAGATTTGATGGTACATGGCCCCGTCCATCGTCCCTTTGATGCGGTGAAGTTGTCCTGTCCCCTTAGCAGAAAAACACCCCCAAAGCATAATTTTCCACCTCCATGTTTGACGGTGGGGATGGTGTTCTTGGGGCCATAGGCAGCTTTCCTCCTCCTCCAAACACAGCGAGTTGAGTTGACGCCAAAGAGCTCGATTTTGGTCTCATCTGACCACAACACTTTCACCCAGTTCTCCTCTGAATCATTCAGATGTTCATTGGCAACCTTCAGACGGCCCTGTATATGTGCTTTCTTGAGCAGGGGGACCTTGCGGGCGCTGCATGATTTCAGTCCTTCACGGCGTAGTGTGTTACCAATTGTTTTCTTCGTGACTATGGTCCCAGCTGCCTTGAGATCATTGACAAGATCCTCCCGTGTAGTTCTGGGCTGATTCCTCACCGTTCTCATGATCATTGCAACTCCACGAGGTGAGATCTTGCATGTAGCCCCAGGCCGAGGGAGATTGACAGTTATTTTGTGTTTCTTCCATTTGCGAATAATCGCACCAACTGTTGTCACCTTCTCACCAAGCTGCTTGGTGATGGTCTTGTAGCCCATTCCAGCCTTGTGTAGGTCTACAATCTTGTCCCTGACATCCTTGGAGATCTCTTTTGTCTTGGCCATGGTGGAGAGTTTGGAATCTGATTGATTGATTGCTTCTGTGGACAGGTGTCTTTTATACAGGTAACAAGCTGTGATTAGGAGCACTACCTTTAAGAGTGTGCTCCTAATCTCAGCTCGTTACCTGTATAAAATACACCTGGGAGCCAGAAATCTTTCTGATTGAGAGGGGGTCAAATACTTATTTCCCTCATTAAAATGCAAATCAATTTATAACATTTTTGACATGCGTTTTTCTGGATTTTTTTGTTGTTATTCTGTCTCTCACTGTTCAAATAAACCTACCATTAAAATTATAGACTGATCATTTCTTTGTCAGTTGACAAACGTACAAAATCAGCAGGGGATCAAATACTTTTTTCCCTCACTGTAATGTGAAGCCACAGTCCTACAATTTCTGTCTGAACAGTGACTCCTACTGGTAGATGAGGGGTAATGCACTTCAGTGAGAACACGTCTACCATTCAGATTAGAGCTGGGATGATAAACAAAAACATTTCTACACCGACCACTTATCACAAACATTTTGCTGATATTGTTCATTACAATAAGTAGCCTATACTAGAGAAATATGAAGTTTGAAATGAAATACGGTTTTTAATATGGGTGATTGTTTATGGGACAATAGATGGCTACAACCTTCAAACTAGTAGTAGTTTAAAGGGACACGCTGTGGTGCAGATGGTTTAAAGGGGAAAGCTGTGGTGCAGATTGTTTAAAGGGGAAAGCTGTGGTGCAGATTGTTTAAAGGGGAAAGCTGTGATGCAGATTGTTTAAAGGGACAAGCTGTGATGCAGATTGTTTAAAGGGACAAGCTGTGGTGCAGATTGTTTAAAGGGACAAGCTGTGATGCAGATTGTTTAAAGGGACAAGCTGTGGTGCAGATTGTTTAAAGGGACAAGTTGTGGTGCAGATTGTTTAAAGGGACAAGCTGTGGTGCAGATTGTTTAAAGGGGAAAGCTGTGGTGCAGATTGTTTAAAGGGACAAGCTGTGGTGCAGATTGTTTAAAGGGGAAAGCTGTGGTGCAGATGGTTTAAAGGGGAAAGCTGTGATGCAGATTGTTTAAAGGGACAAGCTGTGGTGCAGATTGTTTAAAGGGGAACGCTGTGGTGCAGATGGTTTAAAGGGGAAAGCTGTGGTGCAGATTGTTTAAAGGGGAACGCTGTGGTGCAGATTGTTTAAAGGGGAAAGCTGTGGTGCAGATGGTTTAAAGGGGAAAGCTGTGGTGCAGATTTTTTAAATGGGAAAGCTGTGGTGCAGATGGTTTAAAGGGGAAAGCTGTGGTGCAGATTGTTTAAAGGGGAAAGCTGTGGTGCAGATTGTTTAAAGGGGAAAGCTGTGGTGCAGATTGTTTAAAGGGGAAAGCTGTTGTGCAGATTGTTTAAAGGGGAAAGCTGTTGTGCAGATTGTTTAAAGGGGAAAGCTGTGGTGCAGATTGTTCTAAATCATTCTATTTATCGTTATCGTTATCGTTCAGGCAATTTATCGCAATATGGATTTTTGTCCACATCACCCAGCTCCAACCCACATCACCCAGCTCCAACCCACATCACCCAGCTCCAACCCACATCACCCAGCTCCAACCCACATCACCCAGCTCCAACCCACATCACCCAGCTCCAACCCACATCACCCAGGTCCAACCCACATCACCCAGCTCCAACCCACATCACCCAGCTCCAACCCACATCACCCAGGTCAAACCCACATCACCCAGCTCCAACCCACATCACCCAGCTCCAACCCACATCACCCAGGTCCAACCCACATCACCCAGGTCCAACCCACATCACCCAGCTCCAACCCACATCACCCAGCTCCAACCCACATCACCCAGCTCCAAACCCACATCACCCAGCTCCAACCCCACATCACCCAGCTCCAACCCACATCACCCAGGTCCAACCCACATCACCCAGCTCCAACCCACATCACCCAGCTCCAACCCACATCACCCAGGTCCAAACCCACATCACCCAGCTCCAACCCACATCACCCAGCTCCAACCCACATCACCCAGCTCCAAACCCACATCACCCAGCTCCAACCCACATCACCCAGCTCCAACCCACATCACCCAGCTCCAACCCAATCACCCAGCTCCAACCCACATCACCCAGCTCCAACCCACATCACCCAGCTCCAACCCACATCACCCAGGTCCAACCCACATCACCCAGCTCCAACCCACATCACCCAGCTCCAACCCACATCACCCAGGTCAAACCCACATCACCCAGCTCCAACCCACATCACCCAGCTCCAACCCACATCACCCAGGTCCAACCCACATCACCCAGGTCCAACCCACATCACCCAGCTCCAACCCACATCACTCAGCTCCAACCCACATCACCCAGGTCCAACCCACATCACCCAGCTCCAACCCACATCACCCAGCTCCAACCCACATCACCCAGGTCCAACCCACATCACCCAGCTCCAACCCACATCACCCAGCTCCAACCCACATCACCCAGCTCCAACCCACATCACCCAGCTCCAACCCACATCACCCAGGTCCAACGCACATCACCCAGCTCCAACCCAGATGCCTACCTCTATGTACCTTGCTTAGCTTTGGAAGCAATCTGTGTTCGAGTCAGCTGAGCTATCATGTCAACTAATTTAGACATGGATTGTCTGTTGGCTAGGGATACTCCCACACAGTGCTTTTAACAAAGTGTTTTCAACTTCCAAATTTGACATACTTGATTACATTGTGGATGTTCATTTATACAGTAATTATTATTCAACATGTCGTCACCTGGGATTGGAACTGAAAACAACCTCTTGGTTCACAGCATTCAGATGTTCCTGCTACACCACCATGTCTGTCAGACTATACTCTCATCATTGATTTGATCAACTTATTTCAACAATTGAAGGGCTTTCTGTATAGCTGTCTAATGTTGGTGGGGCATGTTAACCTGTTTTAATGATCAATAAAATATTTTCTTGAGTGTACTTTTAACAGAGCTGAGACTGACTTCAAAGTGCATTCATCCTATTGCTTACACCTATCAAGTTGTTTCAGATCTTAGGGAGGAGGGGTTAGGGTTTCTTCTGGACAGGGTTCTAAGCACATGTCCTAGAGATATCCTTTATTGGGACAGTGGTTAGAGTGTTTGTTGTTGGGGTTGGTGGCCCGGGTTAAAGACCTGCTAGAGAATCAGCCTGTCCCAATCAGCCTACTCTCACATCAATATATCTGATCTAATTCAAATATGTTTATCATTGAAAGATGGGAATCGGTAGAATTCTAGATATCTGAGTATCTCCAAGATAACTGTTGTCTTCTTGTTATCCATATGTAGAACAAACATTCAGTGCCTTCGGAAAGTATTCAGACCCTTTTACTTTTTCCACATTTTGTTACGTTACAGCCTTATTCTAAAATGGATTAAATCGTTTTTTACCCTCATCAATCTACACACAATACCCCATAATGACCCAATACCCCATAATGACCCAATACCCCATAATGACCCAATACCCCATAATGACCCAATACCCCATAATGACCCAACACCCCATAATGACCCAATACCCCATAATGACCCAATACCCCATAATGACCCAATACCCCATAATGACCCAATACCCCATAATGACCCAATACCCCATAATGACCCAACACCCCATAATGACCCAATACCCCATAATGACCCAATACCCCATAATGACCCAATACCCCATAATGACCCAATACCCCATAATGACCCAATACCCCATAATGACCCAATACCCCATAATGACCCAAACCCCATAATGACCCAATACCCCATAATGACCCAATGCCCCATATTGACCCAATACCCCATAATGACCCAATGCCCCATAATGACCCAATGCCCCATATTGACCCAATACCCCATAATGACCCAATACCCCATAATGACCCAATACCCCATAATGACCCAATACCCCATAATGACCCAATACCCCATAATGACCCAATACCCCATAATGACCCAATACCCCATAATGACCCAATACCCCATAATGACCCAATACCCCATAATGACCCAATACCCCATAATGACACAATACCCCATAATGACCCAATACCCCATAATGACCCAATACCCCATAATGACCCAATACCCCATATTGACCCAATACCCCATAATGACCCAATACCCCATAATGACACAATACCCCATAATGACCCAATACCCCATAATGACCCAATACCCCATAATGACCCAATACCCCATAATGACCCAATACCCCATAATGACCCAATACCCCATAATGACACAATACCCCATATTGACCCAATACCCCATAATGACCCAATACCCCATAATGACAAAGCAAAAACTGGTTTTTAGAAATTTTAGCAAATGCATTAGAAACAAAGAACGGAAGTATTCAGACCCTTTACTCAGTACTTTGTTGAAGCACCTTTGGCAGCGTTTACAGCCTCGAGTCTTCTTGGGTATGACGCTACAAGCTTGGCACACCTCTATTTGGGGAGTTTCTCCCATTTTTCTCTGCAGATCCTCTCAAACTCTGTCAGGTTGGATGGGGAGCGTCGCTGCACAGCTATTTTCAGGTCTCTCCAGAGATGTTAGATCGGGTTCAAGTCCAGCCTCTGGCTGGGCCACTCAAGGACATTCAGAGACTTGATACGAAGCCAACCCTGCGTTGTCTTGGCTGTGTGCTTAGGGTCGTTGTCCTGTTGGAAGGTGAACCTTCGCCCCAGTCTGAGGTCCTGAGCGCTCTGGAGCAGGTTTTCATAAAGGATCTCTCTGTACTTTGCGCCGTTCATCTTTGCCTTGATCCTGACTAGTCTCCCAGTCCCTGACGCTGCAAAAAACATCTCCACAGCATGATGCTGCCACCACCATGCTTCACCGTAGGGATGGTGCCAGGTTTCCTCCAGACGTAACGCTTGGCATTCTGGCCAAAGAGTACAATCTTGGTTTCATCAGACCAGAGAATCTTGTTTCTCATGGTCTGAGAGTCTTTAGCAAGCTCCAAGCCTTTTACTGAGGAGTGGCTTCCGTCTGGCTACTCTACCATAAAGGCCTGATTGGAGGAGTGCTGCAGAGATGGTTGTCCTTCTTGAAGTTTCTTCCATCTCCACAGAGAAACTCTAGAGCTCTGTCAGAGTGACCATCGGGTTCTTGGTCACCTCCCTGACCAAGGCCCTTCTCCCCCGATTGCTCAGTTTGGCCGGGCGGCCAGCTCTTCTTCCATTTAAGAATGATGGAGGCCACTGTGTTCTTGGGGACCTTCAATGCGGCAGACATTTTTTGGTACCCTTCCCCAGATCTGTGCCTCGACACAATCCTGTCTCGGAGCTCTACGGACAATTCCTTCGACCTCGTGGCTTGGTTTTTGCTCTGACATGCACTGTCAACTGTGGGACCTTATATAGACAGGTGTGTGCCTTGCCAAATCTTGAATTTCCCACAGGTGGACTCCAATCAAGTTGTAGCAACATCTCAAGGATGATCAATGGAAAAAGGATGCACCTAAGCTAAATTTCGAGTCTCATAGCAAAGGGTCTGAATACATATGTAAATAATGTATCTGTTTTTAATTTTTAATACATTTGCAAAAATAAAAAAATGTTTTCACTTTGTCATTATGGGGTATTGTGTGTAGATTGATGAGGATTTGTATTTATTTAATCCATTTTAGAATAAGGCTGTAACGTAACAAAATGTGGAAAAAGTGAAGGGGTCTGAATACTTTCTGAAGGTGGTGGTGGTGCTTCTGATAGAAACATACTCAGATCATGGTGGCCATTTTCTCAGAGATTTAAAGTAACATGTCTGTATTTTCTCACGTGTCATTTAAGCAATGATGATGCCAGTTATACCAAATCAATACACAACACAGAGTCTCCAAGTTGTAATGTGGAAAAACAGACACAGCAACAGAACCAGTTGGGACCAGTGTTTGGGGTAATAATTACTTACAGTAATAGATTACCTTTATGAGGAACGGAGTAATATAATGAGTTACTGTCTTCAAATATTGTAATATTACAGTTACTTGTTCAACTAACCTGTATATTACTTTCAGAAGCACATCTCTTCCAGCGTGTTATATTCAGCGCCTTCAGAAAGGATTCACACCCCTTGACTTTTTCCTCATTCTGTTGCGTTAAAGCCTGAATTTAAAATGAGTGAAATTGAGATTTTGTGTCACTGTTCTACACACAATACCCCATAATGTCAAAGTGGAATTATGTTTTTCTAAATGTTTACAAATTAATACAAAATGAAAAGCTGAAATGTCTTGAGTCAACACTGCAAAAAATGTGGCAAAGCAATATGTAATGTTTGGGGCAAATCCAATACAACAGCACGTCACTGAGTACCACTCTCCATATTTTCAAGCATGGTAGTGGCTGCATCGTGTTATGGGTATGCTTGATAAGGACAGGAGTTTTTCAGGATAAAAAAGAAACAATGGAGCTAAGCACAGATTCCCAGAGGAAATCCTGGTTCAGTCTGCTTTCCACCAGACACTGGAAGATGAGTTCACATTTCAGCAGGACATTAACCTAAAACACAAGGCTTACCAAGAAGACAGTGAATGTTCCTGAGTGGCCGAGTTACAGTTTTGACTTAAATCTACGGCAAGACCTGAAAATGGTTGTCTAGCAATGATCAACAACCAATTTGACAGAGCTTGAAGAATTTTGAAAAGAATAATGGGCAAATGTTTCACAATCCAGGTGGGGAAACCTCTTAAAGACTCACAGCTGTAATCGCTGCCAAAGGTGCTTCTACAAAGTATTGACTTAGGGGTATGAATACTTATGTAAATGAGATATTTCTGTATTTTATTTTCAATACATTTGCTAACATTTCTAAAAACATGTTTTCACTTTGTCATTATGGGGTATTGTGTGTAGATGGGTAAAAATAATCTATTTAATCCATTTTTAATTCAGGCTGGAACAAAATGTGGAATAATTCAAGCGGTATGAATACTTTCTGAAGGCACTGTATATTTTTTACAGTCTTATGCTAACGGAATTCATGCTGTAGGCTAACTCGTTTCCGATAGGCTATCGTAAAGCCTAAAATCAAAGAAAGATGGCAGCTGTCTTACCCTGCTTAACCTTTTCTTTGTGGAAATGCTCCCATTGTTTTGAGTTAATTGAGGAGAAAGAGAACAACATTTTAGTCAAATGCAAACTCTGCAGCATTGATCTCTTGGTCTAGAAATACCACATCAACCCTGAAGACGCATCTGGAGGTCATGCACAAAGGCAGCATTGCTCTATTGGTCCAGAAACACCACATCAAACCTGAAAAAACATCTGGAGGTCAAAGACACAAAGCACTCTAGCAGGTCTTTAACCCGGCGAGTAGGCTGATTCTCTAGCAGGTCTTTAACCCGGGCCACCAACCCCAACAACAAACACTCTAACCACTGTCCCAATAAAGGATATCTCTAGGACATGTGCTTAGAACCCTGTCCAGAAGAAACCCTAACCCCTCCTCCCTAAGATCTGAAACGACTTGATAGGTGTAAGCAATAGGATGAATGCACTTTGAAGTCAGTCTCAGCTCTGTTAAAAGTACACTCAAGAAAATATTTTATTGATCATTAAAACAGGTTAACATGCCCCACCAACATTAGACATCTATACAGAAAGCCCTTCAATTGTTGAAATAAGTTGATCAAATCAATGATGAGAATAGTTTGATACCTGAAACGGACATCGGAGTACCGTGAACCAAGAGGTTGGGAGTTCAAATCCCAGGTGAGGACATGTTGAATAATAATGAATGTATAAATGAACATTCATAATGTAAATACACTATGTTAAAAGCACTGTGTGTGAGTATCCCTAACCTTGCCAACAGACAAAGAGCTATGAATGAATCAGTGGTTCCCCAATAAGGGCCTTGATTGGCTCGGTAATGTGATGTGTAATGATTTTTTCTTTGGACACAAATGTTCTTGCAACATTCTCATGAAACATGTCTAGAAAATTAATATATTAGGTTCTGAGAACATTCTAACTACGTTCTGGATAAGTTCTACTTGATATTAAGGAAATGGTCTCTTGAAAACATCACGTGAACATTCATCTGAAAACATTAGTTAATGAGACTCTTAAGGGAAAGTTCTCTAAAGTTGTGGGAATGTTTGTTGTTAGCTGGGGTTGGGTTTATGTAGGCTACATTGACATCTGATTTTGCCAAAGGACAACGCAATTTCAACGTGAAGCTAGGTATACTATCATTCATCCATGGTTGATTGGATCTTTGGAAGGTTATAAGTAGCCCTATAAATAGAACGCCAAAGTCATGATATTAATAACACACTTTTACCTTTGGATATTGTCTTTTATATATGTTATTAATAATACATACACACATACATACAGTGGGGAGAACAAGTATTTGATACACTGCTGATTTTGCAGGTTTTCCTATTACAAAGCATGTAGAGGTCTGTAATTTTTATCATAGGTACACTTCCACTGTGAGAGACGGAATCTAAAACAAAAATCCAGAAAATCACATTTTATGATTTTTAAGTTATTAATTTGCATTTTATTGCATGACATAAGTATTTGAATCATTCAAATGTTCATTGGCAAACGTCAGACGGGCCTGTATATGTGCTTTCTTGAGCAGGGGGACCTTGCGGGCGCTGCAGGATTTCAGTCCTTCACGGCGTAGTGTGTTACCAATTGTTTTCTTGGTGACTGAGCCAATCAGTTGTGTTGTGACAAGGTAGGGGGGGTATACAGAAGATAGCCCTATTTGGTAAAAGACCAAGTCCATATTATGGCAAGAACAGCTCAAATAAGCAAAGAGAAACGACAGTCCGTCATTACTTTAAGACATGGTCAGTCAATACGGAACATTTAAAGAACTTTGAAAGTTTCTTTAAGTGCAGTCGCAAAAACCATCAATCGCTATGATGAAACTGGCTCTCATGAGGACCGCCACAGGAATGGAAGACCCAGAGTTACCTCTGCTGCAGAGGATAAGTTCATTAGACTTACCAGCCTCAGAAATTGCAGCCCAAATAAATGCTTCAGAGTTCAAGTAACAGACACATCTCAACATCAACTGTTCAGAGGAGACTGTGTGAATCAGGCCTTCATGGTCGAATTGCTGCAAAGAAACCACTACTAAAGGACACCAATAAGAAGAAGACACCTGCTTGGGCCAAGAAACACGACCAATGGACATTAGACCGGTGGAAATGTGTACTTTGGTCTGGAGTCCAAATTGGAGATTTTTGGTTCCACCCACAGTGTCTTTGTGAGACATGGTGTGGGTGAACGGATGATCTCCTATTGTGTAGTTCCCACCGTAAAGCATGGAGGAGGAGGTGTTATGGTGTGGGGGTGCTTTGCTGGTGACACTGTCTATTATTTATTTAGAATTCAAGGTACACTTAACCAGCATGGCTACCACAGCATTCTGCAGCGATACACCGTCCCATCTGGTTTGGGCTTAGTGGGACTATCATTTGTTTTTCAACAGGACAATGACCCAACACACCTCCAGGCTGTGTAAGGGCTATTTTACCAAGAAGGAGAGTGATGGAGTGCTGCATCAGATGACCTGGCCTCCACAATCCCCCGACCTCAACCAAATTGAGATGTTTTGGGATAAGTCGGACGGCAAAGTGAAGGAAAGTGCTCAGCATATGTGGGTGAAGCTTGTTGAGATAATGCCAAGAGTGTGCAAAACTGTCATCAAGGCAAAGGGTGGCTACTTTGAAGAATCTCAAATATATAATATATTTTGATTTGTTTTAACAATTTTTTGGTTACTACATGATTACATATGTGTTATTTCATAGTTTTGATGTCTTCAGTATTATTCTACAATATAGAAAATAGTAAAAAATTAAGAAAAACCCTTGAATGAGTAGGTGTGTCCAAACTTTTGACTGGTACTGTATCTGAGGAAGGGTATAAAACCATTTCTAAAGTGTTGAAAGTTTCCAAGAGCCCAGTGGTCTTCATCATTGGGAAATAATATGGAACTACCCAGACTCTGCCTAGAGCTGGCCGTCCGACCAAACTGATCAACCGGGCAAGAAGGACCTTGGTCAGGGAGGTGACCAAGAACCCAATGACCAATGACCACTCTGACAGAGCTACAGCGCTACACCAATCTGGGCTTCATGGGAGAGAGGCCAGACGGAAGCCACTCGTGAGAAAAAGGCACATGACAGCACGCCTGGAGTTTGCAAAAAGGCACATGAAAGACTCAAAATATGGTGTTTTGATGAGACAAAAATGTAACTCTTTGGCCTGAATGTAAAGCGCTATGTCTGGAGAAAACCAGGCACAGCTCATCACCCGTCTAACACCATCCCTACTGTGAAGCATGGTGGTGGCAGCATCATGCTATGGGGATGCTTTCAGCAGCAGGGACTGGCAGACTGGTAAGGGGATGCTTTCAGCAGCAGGGACTGGTAGACTGGTAAGGGGATGCTTTCAGCAGCAGGGACTGGGAGACTGGTAAGGATAGAGGGAACAATGAATGGAGACAAATACAGACAAATCCTTGATGAGAACCTGCTTCAGAGTGCAAACGAACTTAGACTGGGGTGAAGATTTACGTTTCAACAGGACAATGACCCCAAGCATACAGCCAAAGCAATGCTGGAATGGCTTCAGAACAAGAATGTAAAAGTCCTTGAGTGACACAGCCAAAGCCCTGGCTTGAATCCCATTGAAAATATGTGGAAAGACTTGAAGATTGCTGTTCACTGCCGCTTCCCATCTAACTTAACAGAGGTTGAGAAAACCTACAAGGGAGAATGGGAAAAAATCCCCAAATCCAGATGTGCAAAGCTGATACAGACATACCCAAGACTACTCAAATCTGTAATCGCTGCCAAAGGTATTGACTCAGGGGTGTGGATACTTATGTAAATCAAATATTTCTTTATTTCCTTTTCAGTAAATTTGCCAACATTTCTGAAAACATTTTTTCACTTTGTCATAATGAGGTATTGTGTGTAGATGGGTGGTATTTGGTATATTTGGTATGTCCGGTACCATTTGTTTCAGCAGCTGTGTTGACTAGTGTCACAGTACCGTTCTTCAGAGCAAAACAGAGATGATATGTTACTACGACTAGGCTGTCATACTGCTGTAGCCTGTAGGCATACTGTTACAGTCTAAAGACAATGGGATCTAATCCTCTCTGTATCTCTGTCCCTCCAACCAATGGGATCTAATCCTCTCTGTCTCTTTGTCCCTCCAACCAATGGGATCTAACCCTGTGTCTCTGTCCCTCCAACCAATGGGATCTAACCCTGTGTCTCTGTCTCTCCAACCAATTTGATCTAACCCTGTGTGTCCCTCCAGCCAATGGGATCTAACCCTCTTTGTCTCTTTGTCCGTCCAGCCCATGGGATCAGAGCATATGGAGATGCGAAAGCGGCAGATGTCGGTGCAGCAGGAGTCGATGGCGGGAGGCACGGAACTGACCCAGCAGGACCCTAACCAGAGCCAGAACCAGGGGAACCAGAGCCAGGTGAACCAGAGCCAGGTGAACCAGAACCAGGTGAACCAGAGCCAGGTGAACCAGAACCAGGGGAACCAGAGCCAGGTGAACCAGAGAGGGAACAACGCCTGTTGCTTCTGCTGGTGCTGCTGCTGCAGCTGTTCCTGGTACGAACAGTATGGATTCATCCCAAATGGCATCCTATTCCCTATATAGTGCACTACTTTTGATCAAAACCCTATGGGAAATAGGGTGCCATTTGGGAAGCACACTCTGTCATGCACTTCTAGTAGTGTATCACACACCCAGCATGGCTCCACACTGCACCCTTCATCTACACAGCACCCTACATCTACACAGAACATCACCCATTCTACACAGCACCCTACAGTACATCACCCTTCATCTACACAGCACCCTACAGTACATCACCCTACATCTACACAGCACCCTACAGTACATCACCCTTCATCTACACAGCACCCTACAGTACATCACCCTTCATCTACACAGCACCCTACAGTACATCACCCTACATCTACACAGCACCCTACAATACATCACCCTTCATCTACACAGCACCCAACAGTACATCACCCTACATCTACACAGCACCCTACAGTACATCACCCTACATCTACACAGCACCCAACAGTACATCACCCTACATCTACACAGCACCCCATATCTACACAGCACCCTACAGTACATCACCCTTCATCTACACAGCACCCAACAGTACATCACCCTACATCTACACAGCAACCTACATCTACACAGCACCCTATATATATACAGCACCCTACAGTACATCACCCTACATCTACACAGCACCCTAAATCTACACAGCACCCTACAGTACATCACCCTACATCTACACAGCACCCTATATATATACAGCACCCTACAATACATCACCCTTCATCTACACATCATCCTATAGTACATCAACCTTCATCTACACAGAACCTTACAGTACATAACCCTACATCTACACAGAACCTTACAGTACATCACCCTACATCTACACAGCACCCTTCATCTACACAGCACCCTACATCTACACAGCACCCTACAATACATCACCCTTCATCTACACAGTACCACACATCTACAAAGCACCCTTATTTTACACAGCACCCTACAGTACATCACCCTACATCTACACAGCACCCTACATCTACACAGAACATCACCATTCTACACAGCACCCTACAGTACATCACCCTTCATCTACACAGCACCCTACAGTACATCACCCTACATCTACACAGCACCCTACATCTACACAGCACCCTACAGTACATCACCATTCATCTACACAGCACCCTACATCTACACAGCACCCTACAGTACATCACCCTTCATCTACACAGCACCCTACAGTACATCACCCTTCATCTACACAGCACCCTACATCTATACAGCACCCAACAGTACATCACCCTACATCTACACAGCACCCTACATCTACACAGCACCCTACAGTACATCACCCTACATCTACACAGCACCCTATATATATACAGCACCCTACAATACATCACCCTTCATCTACACATCATCCTATAGTACATCAACCTTCATCTACACAGAACCTTACAGTACATCACCCTACATCTACACAGAACCTTACAGTACATCACCCTACATCTACACAGCACCCTTCATCTACACAGCACCCTACATCTACACAGCACCCTACAATACATCACCCTTCATCTACACAGTACCACACATCTACACAGCACCCTTATTTTACACAGCACCCTACAGTACATCACCCTACATCTACACAGCACCCTACATCTACACAGAACATCACCATTCTACACAGCACCCTACAGTACATCACCCTTCATCTACACAGCACCCTACAGTACATCACCCTACATCTACACAGCACCCTACATCTACACAGCACCCTACAGTACATCACCATTCATCTACACAGCACCCTACATCTACACAGCACCCTAAAATACATCACCCTTCATCTACACAGCACCCTACATCTACACAGCACCCTACAGTACATCACCCTTCATCTACACAGCACCCTACAGTACATAATAATAAATAATAATAATATGCCATTTAGCAGACGCTTTTATCCAAAGCGACTTACAGTCATGCGTGCATACATTTTTGTGTATGGGTGGTCCCGGGGATCGAACCCACTACCTTGGCGTTACAAGCGCCGTGCTCTACCAACTGAGCTACAGAGGACCACAACTGAGCTACATCACCCTTCATCTACACAGCACCCTACATATACACAGCACCCTACATCTACACAGCACCCTACATCTACACAGAACATCACCATTCTACACAGCACCCTACAGTACATCACCCATCGTCTACACAGCACCCTACAGTACGTCACCCATCATCTACACAGCACCCAACAGCACCCAACAGTACATTACCCTACATCTACACAGCAACCTACATCTACACAGCACCCCACATCTATACAGCACCCTACAGTAAATCACCTTTCATCGAAACAGCACCCTACAGTACATCACCCTACATCTACACAGCACCCTACATCTACACAGCACCCTACAGTAAATCACCTTTCATCGAAACAGTACCCTACAGTACATCACAATACATATACACAGCACCCTACATCTACACAGCACCCTACAGTAAATCACCTTTCATCGAAACAGCACCATACAGTACATCACCCTTCATCTACACAGCACCCTACAGTACATCACCCTTCATCTACACAGCACCCTACATCTACACAGCACCCTACAGTACATCACCCTTCATCTACACAGCACCCTGCATCTACACAGCACCCTACAGTACATCACCCTTCATCTACACAGCACCCTACATCTACACAGCACCCTACAGTACATCACCCTTCATCTACCCAGCACCCTTCATCTACACAGCACCCTACATTACATCACACTTCATCTACACAGCACCCTACAGTACATCACCCTTTATCTACAAAGCACCCTAGAGTAAATCATCCTTCATTTACACAGCACCCTTCATCTACCCAGCACCCTTCATCTACACAGCACCCTTCATCTACACAGCACCCTACATCTACACAGCAGCCTTCATCCACACAGCACCCTACATCTACAGAGCACCCTACATCTACACAGCAGCCTTCATCCACACAGCACCCTACATCTACACAGCAGCGTTCATCTACACAGCACCCTAAATCTACACAGCACCCTACATCTACACAGCAGCCTTCATCCACACAGCACCCTACATCTACACAGCAGCGTTCATCTACACAGCACCCTACATCTACACAGCACCCTACATCTACACAGCAGCCTTCATTCACACAGCACCCTACATCTACACAGCAGCCTTCATCCACACAGCACCCTACATCTACACAGCAGCGTTCATCTACACAGCACCCTTCATCTACACAGCAGCCTTCATCCACACAGCAACCTACAGTACATCACCTTTCATCTACACAGCACCCTACAGTAAATCATCCTTCATATACACAGCACCCTACAGTACATCACCCTTCATCTACACAGCACCCTTCATCTACACAGCACCCTACATTACATCACCCTTCATCTACACAGCACCCTACATGACATCACCCTTCATCTACACAGCACCCTTCATCTACACAGCACCCTACAGTAAATCATCCTTCATTTACACAGCACCCTTCATCTACACAGCACTCTACATCTACACAGCAGCCTTCATCCACACAGCACCCTACATCTACACAGCACCCTACATCTACACAGCAGCCTTCATCCACACAGCACCCTACATCTACACAGCACCCTACATCTACACAGCAGCTTTCATCTACACAGCACCCTACATCTAGACAGCAGCCTTCATCCACACAGCACCCTACATCTACACAGCAGCGTTCATCTACACAGCAGCCTTCATCCACATAGCACCCTACATCTACACAGCACCCTACATCTACACAGCAGCCTTCATCTACACAGCACCCTACAGTAAATCATCCTTCATTTACACAGCACCCTTCATCTACACAGCAGCCTTCATCCACACAGCACCCTACATCTACACAGCACCCTACATCTACACAGCAGCCTTCATCTACACAGCACCCTACAGTAAATCATCCTTCATCCACACAGCACCCTACATCTACACATCACCCTTCATCTACACAGCACCCTACAGTACATCACCCTTCATCTACACAGCACCCTACAGTAAATCATCCTTCATTTACACAGCACCCTTCATCTACACAGCACTCTACATCTACACAGCAGCCTTCATCCACACAGCACCCTACATCTACACAGCACCCTACATCTACACAGCAGCCTTCATCCACACAGCACCCTACATCTACACAGCACCCTACATCTACACAGCAGCTTTCATCTACACAGCACCCTACATCTAGACAGCAGCCTTCATCCACACAGCACCCTACATCTACACAGCAGCGTTCATCTACACAGCAGCCTTCATCCACACAGCACCCTACATCTACACAGCAGCGTTCATCCACACAGCACCCTTCATCTACACAGCAGCCTTCATCCACACAGCACCCTTCATCTACACAGCACCCTACATCTACACAGCAGCCTTCATCTACACAGCACCCTACAGTAAATCATCCTTCATCCACACAGCACCCTACATCTACACAGCACCCTACATCTACACAGCAGCCTTCAACCACACAGCACCCTACATCTACACAGCAGCCTTCATCTACACAGCACCCTACAGTAAACCATCTTTCATTTACACAGCACCCTACATCTACACAGCACCCTACATCTACACAGCAGCCTTAATCCACACAGCACCCTACATCTACACAGCACCCTACAGTACATCACCCTTCATCTACACAGCACCCTACAGTAAATAATCCTTCATTTACACAGCACCCTTCATCTACACAGCACCCTACATCTACACAGCACCCTACATTACATCACCCTTCATTTACACAGCACCCTACATCTACACAGCAGCGTTCATCTACACAGCAGCCTTCATCCACACAGCAGCCTTCATCCACACAGCACCCTACATCTACACAGTTGACTTGATGTGCTGATTATAGAGGTTGACAGGGCCAGTGAAGAGATCTGTAACCTCCTGACTGGTGCACCATTATATCTTCACTGCTAGATCTAGATCTGGTCTGATCTCTGTCCTGTTGCTCGCCTGTCTCCTGTAGGAACGAGGAGCGTGAGGAGAGGAACCGGCGGGCGTCCTACGACCTCAAGGCTGAGGGAACGGCCGACTGCGAGGACAGGTTAGCCACTGCAGCATCCCTGTGTAGCCCAGCACATTGGATAACTGATCAAGGGCTTAATGGTTAGCTGCATTAGCACATTGGATAACTGATCAAGGGCTTAATGGTTAGCTGCATTTGCACATTGGATAACTGATCAAGGGCTTAATGGTTAGCTGCATTAGCACATTGGATAACTGATCAAGGGCTTAATGGTTAGCTGCATTAGCACATTGGATAATTGATCAAGGGCTAAATGGTTAGCTGCATTAGCACATTGGATAACTGATCAAGGGCTTAATGGTTAGCTGCATTAGCACATTGGATAACTGATCAAGGGCTTAATGGTTAGCTGCATTAGCACATTGGATAACTGATCAAGGGCTTAATGGTTAGCTGCATTAGCACATTGGATAACTGATCAAGGGCTTAATGGTTAGCTGCATTAGCACATTGGATAACTGATCAAGGGCTTAATGGTTAGCTGCATTAGCACATTGGATAACTGATCAAGGGCTTAATGGTTAGCTGCATTAGCACATTGGATAACTGATCAAGGGCTTAATGGTTAGCTGCATTAGCACATTGGATAACTGATCAAGGGCTTAATGGTTAGCTGCATTAGCACATTGGATAACTAATCAAGGGCTTAATGGTTAGCTGCATTAGCACATTGGATAACTGATCAAGGGCTTAATGGTTAGCTGCATTAGCACATTGGATAACTGATCAAGGGCTTAATGGTTAGCTGCATTAGCACATTGGATAACTGATCAAGGGCTTAATGGTTAGCTGCATTAGCACATTGGATAACTGATCAAGGGCTTAATGGTTAGCTGCATTAGCACATTGGATAACTGATCAAGGGCTTAATGGTTAGCTCTGTGTTAGTGTCATAGCTGGCGTTGGTGAAACAGTGTCAGCCCCTGGACGTCCAGTGTGTTAGTGTCATAGCTGTCAGCCCCTGTCTTGTGCCTGCTGTTGTTCTCTGATTGGTGTGTTCTCTGCAGGCCCCCGCCCACTCTGGAGGAGGTCCGTTCCTGGGCCCAGTCGTTTGACCGGCTGATGTCGTGCGCTGCGGGCCGAGTGGCGTTTAGGCTGTTCCTGTGTACGGAGTTTAGTGAGGAGAACATGTTGTTCTGGCTAGCTTGTGAGGAGTTCACCAAGGAAACCAACAAGACCTCCATTGAGGAGAAGGCACGGGTCATCTACGAGGATTACATCTCCATCCTCTCACCCAAAGAGGTGAGTAAGACTTCTCCTCCTCCTTCTTCATGTGTTATTATATGTATCTACCTCAACTAGCCGGTGCCCCCGCACATTGACTCTGCAACGGTACCCCCCTGTATATATAGCCTCCCTACTGTTATTTTATTTTACTTCTGCTCTTTTTTTTCTCAACACTTTTTTTGTTGTTGTTTTATTTTTACTTTTTTTGTTAAAAATAAATGCACTGTTGGTTAAGGGCTGTAAGTAAGCATTTCACTGTGATGTCTGCACCTGTTGTATTCGGCGCATGTGACCAATAAAATTTGATTTGATTTGATGTATCTAGTCTTAACTCTCCTTGCTGTGTTTCCCCCCAGGTGAGCCTGGACTCACGTGTTCGGGAGGTGATCAATAAGAATATGTTGGAGCCGTCGTCCCAGACCTTCGTTGATGCTCAGGTGCAGATCTACACGCTGATGCAAAGAGACTCCTACCCCCGATACATGAACTCCCCTGCCTACATGAACTTGCTCAACTCCCTCTCAGAGCAGGCCCCCGAGTCCTAACTCAGCACTCTCAGAGCAGGCCCCCCCGAGTCCTAACTCAACACTCTCAGAGCAGCCCCCCCCCCCCCCCCCCCCCCCCCCCCGAGTCCTAACTCAACACTCTCAGAGTAGGTCTCAGAGTCCTAACTCAACACTGTGTACTAGAGTCAAAGGTCACAACAAACCTGGGATCGTCTCTCTTTTCCTATTTTCAGTGTAGAGAAGGGGTGGCCAACCTTCCTTCTGGAGCGCTATTAGGTGTGCAGGCTTTTTCTCCAGCCCTACTCTAACACAGCCTGCACACCCAGTAGCTCTCCAGGAGTGTAGAGGATATGAAGCGGGCCTCTGACCTGACCTAGCCCTGCCCCCAGGACCTGGCTCCGCCCCTCAGAGACCTCAGCGCTACAGAGATGTCACCTGACTAAAGACACTCAGGGTTCTACTCCACCTAGGGCTCTACTCCACCTAGGGCTCTACTCCACCTAGGGCTCTACTCCACCTAGGGCTCTACTCCACCTAGGGCTCTACTCCACCTAGGGTTCTACTCCACCTAGGGTTCTACTCCACCTAGGGTTCTACTCCACCTAGGGCTCTACTCCACCTAGGGCTCTACTCCACCTAGGGCTCTACTCCACCTAGGGCTCTACTCCACCTAGGGATCTACTGTCCTAGGACTCTACTCCACCTAGGGCTCTACTCCACCTAGGGCTCTACTCCACCTAGGGCTCTACTCCACCTAGGGCTCTACTCCACCTAGGGCTCTACTGTCCTGAGGGCTCTACTCCACCTAGGGCTCTACTCCACCTAGGGCTCTACTGTCCTGAGGGCTCTACTGTCCTGAGGGCTCTACTCCACCTAGGGCTCTACTGTCCTGAGGGCTCTACTCCACCTAGGGCTCTACTGTCCTAGGGCTCTACTCCACCTAGGGCTCTACTGTCCTGAGGGCTCTACTGTCCTGAGGGCTCTACTCCACCTAGGGCTCTACTGTCCTAGGGCTCTACTCCACCTAGGGCTCTACTGTCCTAGGGCTCTACTCCACCTAGGGCTCTACTGTCCTAGGGCTCTACTCCACCTAGGGCTCTACTGTCCTGAGGGCTCTACTGTCCTGAGGGCTCTACTCCACCTAGGTCTCTACTCCACCTAGGGCTCTACTGTCCTGAGGGCTCTACTCCACCTAGGGCTCTAGTGTCCTGAGGGTTCTACTCTTCTGAAGGCTGTACTCCCATGACGGTGAGGGTTCTATTCCCCCAGGGCTCTACTTCTTTAAGGCTCCATTCCCCCAGGGCTCTACTCGTTTAAGGCTCCATTCCCCCAGGGCTCTACTCCTTTAAGGCTCCATTCCCCCAGGGCTCTACTCCTTTAAGGCTCCATTCCCCCAGGGCTCTCCTCGTTTAAGGCTCCATTCCCCCAGGGCTCTACTCGTTTAAGGCTCCATTCCCCCAGGGCTCTACTCCTTTAAGGCTCCATTCCCCCAGGGCTCTACTCCTTTAAGGCTCCATTCCCCCAGGGCTCTACTCCACACCACCATTACTGCTCCAGATCAACATACCAACACACTCCAAAGGAATATTAATATAAGGTTTGTTTTTGGAGAAAGAAAAAATATATTTGATTTGTGTTCAAGTTATTTTATTGTGTTATGATTATGTTTATTTTTAGTATAATTGTTTGGACGGACAAATGACGCCTACTTGTGGGCAATATTATATATATTTATGCGTTCGTAAATAGACAAAAGGGAATTGTGGGTAAACTGTGTCTGAGAATCAAGTGTGTGTCCCAAATGGCACCCTATTCCCTATATAGTGCACTACTTTAGACCAGAGAATGGCACCCTATTCCCTATATAGTGCACTACTTTAGACCAGAGAATGGCACCCTATTCCCTATATAGTGCACTACTTTAGACCAGAGAATGGCACCCTATTCCCTATATAGTGCACTACTTTAGACCAGGACCCTATTCCCTATATAGTGCACTACTTTAGACCAGAGAATGGCACCCTATTCCCTATATAGTGCACTACTTTAGACCAGAGAATGGCACCCTATTCCCTATATAGTGCACTACTTTAGACCAGAGAATGGCACCCTATTCCCTATATAGTGCACTACTTTAGACCAGAGAATGGCACCCTATTCCCTATATAGTGCACTACTTTAGACCAGAGAATGGCACCCTATTCCCTATATAGTGCACTACTTTAGACCAGAGAATGGCACCCTATTCCCTATATAGTGCACTACTTTAGACCAGAGAATGGCACCCTATTCCCTATATAGTGCACTACTTTAGACCAGAGAATGGCACCCTATTCCCTATATAGTGCACTACTTTAGACCAGAGAATGGCACCCTATTCCCTATATAGTGCACTACTTTAGACCAGAGAATGGCACCCTATTCCCTATATAGTGCACTACTTTAGACCAGGATGCACCCTATTCCCTATATAGTGCACTACTTTAGACCAGGACCCTATTCCCTATATAGTGCACTACTTTAGACCAGAGAATGGCACCCTATTCCCTATATAGTGCACTACTTTAGACCAGGACCCTATTCCCTATGTAGTGCACTACTTTAGACCAGGACCCTATTCCCTATATAGTGCACTACTTTAGACCAGGACCCTATTCCCTATATAGTGCACTACTTTAGACCAGGACCCTATTCCCTATATAGTGCACTACTTTAGACCAGGACCCTATTCCCTATATAGTGCACTACTTTAGACCAGAGAATGGCACCCTATTCCCTATATAGTGCACTACTTTAGACCAGGACCCTATTCCCTATATAGTGCACTACTTTAGACCAGGACCCTATTCCCTATATAGTGCACTACTTTAGACCAGAGAATGGCACCCTATTCCCTATATAGTGCACTACTTTAGACCAGGACCCTATTCCCTATATAGTGCACTACTTTAGACCAGGACCCTATTCCCTATATAGTGCACTACTTTAGACCAGGACCCTATTCCCTATATAGTGCACTACTTTAGACCAGGACCCTATTCCCTATATAGTGCACTACCTAAAGGGCCTCTCACTCAACGTCAACAAAACAAAGGAGATGATCGTGGACTTCAGAAAACAGCAGAGGGTGCACCCCCCTATCCATCGACGGGACCACAGTGGAGAAGGTGGAAAGCTTCAAGTTCCTCGGCGTACACATCACTGACGATCTGAAATGGTCCACCCACGCAGACAGTGTGGTGAAGAAGGTGCAACAGCGCCTCTTCAACCTCAGGAGGCTGAAGACATTAGTCTTGACACCTAAAACCCTCACATACTTTTATAGATGCACAATTGAGAGCATCCTGTCGGGCTGTATCACCGCCTGGTACGGCAATTGCACCGCCCACAACCGCAGGGCTCTCCAGAGGGTGGTGCGGTCTGCCGAACGCATTACCGGGGGCAAACTATCCGCCCTCCAAGACACATACAGCACCCGATGTCACAAGAAGGCCAAAAAGATCATCAAGGACATCAACCACCCGAGCCACTGCCTGTTCACCCCGCTATCATCCAGAAGGCGAGGTCAGTACAGGTGCATCAATGCTGGGACCGAGAGAATGAAAAACAGCTTCTATCTCAAGGCCATCAGACTGTTAAATAGCCATCACTAGCACATTATAGGCTGCTGCTGCCTATTGAAATCACTGGCCACTTTAAGAAATGGAACACTAGTCACTTTAATAATGTTTACATATCTTGCACTACTCATCTCATATGTATATACTGCATTCTATTCTATAATATTCTACTGTATCTTAGTCCATGCCGCTCTGTCATTGCTTGTCCATATATTTATTTATATATTCTTAAATCCCATTCCTCACTAGATTTGTGTGTATTGGGTATATGTTGTGAAATTGTTAGATATTACTGCACTGTCGGAGCTAGAAGCACAAGCATTTTGCTACACCCACTATAACATCTGCTAAACACGTGTATGTGACAAATAAAATTTGATTTGATTTGATATAGACTACATTCCAAAATGGCTCTCTGCCACCTACATAACATCTCATGATGTATTCATCACATGCCGGTAAACAGGTGTAGACTAACAGTCAAATGCAGAGAGAAAGAAAATAGAGAAACAATAGAAAAGTAATAATAAATACACAACGATAACTTGGCGAAACGGAGTACCAGTACCGAGTCAGAGGGGAACCAGTACCGAGACAGAGGGGAACCAGTACCGAGACAGAGGGGAACCAGTACCGAGACAGAGGGGAACCAGTACAGAGACAGAGGGGAACCAGTACCGAGACAGAGGGGAACCAGTACCGAGTCAGAGGGGAACCAGTACAGAGACAGAGGGGAACCAGTACCGAGACAGAGGGGAACCAGTACCGAGTCAGAGGGGAACCAGTACCGAGACAGAGGGGAACCAGTACCGAGTCAGAGGGGAACCAGTACCGAGACAGAGGGGAACCAGTACCGAGACAGAGGGGAACCAGTACCGAGACAGAGGGGAACCAGTACCGAGACAGAGGGGAACCAGTACCGAGAGGGCAGGGGTACGAGGTAGTCGAGTTAGATATGTACATATACAGTGCATTCGGAAAGTATTCAGACCCCTTGACTTTTTCCACATTCTGTTACGCTACAGCCTTATTCTAAAATTGATTAAATAGTTTTATTCCCTCATCAATGTACACAATACCCCATAATGTCAAAGCAAAAACATTTGCTGATTTATAAAAAATACAAAACTGAAAAATTACATTTGCATAAGTATTCAGACCCTTTACTCAGTACTTTGTTGAAGCACCTTTGGCAGTGATTACAGCCTCAAGTCTTCTTGGGTATGACGCTACAAGCTTGGCACACCTGTATTTGGGGAGTTTCT